ACTGTGAGGAACGAAGTTTCAAATAGAAGAAGAGAGGGGGGAAATGAAAATTGGAAAAATAAGAAACCCGCCTGGTAGGGACTCATTTTTGAAATAACGGGTCATTTTGGCGCCTGGTAGGGATTCATTTTTGAAATAACGGGTCATTTTGGCGTTAAAAGGGAGCTAGGGGTGCAGCTTATTGTGAATTTTTTTTATTAGTGGATGCTTCACCTTCACATTCATCTTTGCATATTGCAACTCCTCATAATTAAGGGTTCATTCCTCACCATTAAAGGGTCATTCTTGATCACCTACTAAAGGCCATTCAAAGGGGCCATTAAAGTGCCATTCAAGTGTCCATTAAGGTGCCATTCATACTCTCATTTAGTCCTATTCAATGGCAAATGTAACCTCCTATGTCCCTTAGCCTATATATAGGCTTACAAATTTGTATGTTGGTAGAAGGAAGAATACTTGATGAAATAAGAAACTCCCTCCCTTTCATTTGTCATCTTGCCAATTTTTCTTCTTATTTTATAATACGTTATCAGCACGATCGTCTCCACCATTCAATTTGTGGCAAGCTCTTAAGGTAATCATTTGTTTTCCTAATTTAAATTTGATTTTAGTCTAACGAATTTTTGCAGCCACAATGTCAAACTTAACAAAACTTGAATTTGCCGCCCTTGATATAACGGGCTCAAATTATTTGCCATGGATACTTGATGCTGAAATCCATTTGGCTGCAAATAATCTTGGTCAAACAATTGTTGGGGAAATCAAACCTCCTTACAAGATCGCGCTAAAGCGTTGATATTCCTTCGCCATCATCTCCATGAGGGATTGAAGGCTGAATATTTGACAATCAAAAATCCATTTGAATTATTGCAAAATTTGAAAGAAAGATATGATCACCAAAAATCAGTGATATTGCCAAAAGCTCGTTATGAATGGATGCATCTACGATTGCAAGATTTTAAATCTGTGAGTGAGTATAACTCTGCAGTATTCCGCATTTCATCTCAATTAAAATTATGTGGTGAAAAAATTACTGATGAAGATATGTTGGAGAAAACATTCTCCACTTTTCATGCCTCAAATTTGCTTTTTCAGCAACAATATCGAGAGCGTGGCTTTAAAAAATATTCAGATTTGACATCATGTCTTCTTGTTGCTGAACAAAATAATGAACTTTTGATGAAAAATCATCAGTCACAGCCTATTGGTTCAGCCCCATTACCTAAGGCAAATGCAACCTCATATAATAATTATGGGCGTGGTCGAGGCCGTCGTCATGGTCGTAATCGTGGCAATAACCATGGCTAAGGGTATGCCCGTGGTCGAAATAATACTTGGCATCGTAGAGGTTTCAACCCCAAATATGAATCTGTTGAACCAAAGAACGTAAGGGGTAGAAATTTACAAAAGAACCCTACGAAAGTTTCTGAAAGTTTTTGTTATCGATGTGGAGCAAAAGGACATTGGGAGCGTGCTTGTCGCATTGCTAGGCATTTGGTTGATCTTTACCAAGCCTCACTTAATGAAAAGGGAAAAGGAAAAGATCCAAAATGAATTTCATTGAGCAAAATAATGTGGATCTCGATACACACCTTGATGTTACTGATTTTTTCGAGGCTGTTGAAAAGCTTAATGGTGTTGGTGATACCCAACCAAGAGTTTGACTTATTATGTCCTCTTAAATAATTTGCCTTTTGTGGCCATTTCCCTTTTTCTATATGTAATGTTCTTTTTATATGCAATAAAAGAATAAGCATTTCAGAATATATATTGATTATTTGTCTCTTCTGTTTCATTTGTCTTTATTTAAGACTAAATGGACTTGGATGATACTAAGATCAAAGATGGAGACCTATGTCTTGTTGACAGTGGCACAACACATACCATCTTGAGAAATAAGAATTATTTTTCTCAATTAAAGTTAGCCGAGACCAATGTTCATACAATATCTGGTATGGCAAAGTTGATTGAAGGCTCTGGAAAAGCTTGCATTTTATTGCCTAGAGGAACAAAATTATTAACACATGATGCTCTATATTCTAGTAGATCAAATCGAAATCTACTAAGTTTTAAAGATATACGTCGTAATGGCTTCCATATTGAAACCATGGATGAGAATGGAATAGAATTCCTCCATGTCACAACTTTTGCATTTGGAAAAAAGAAAATATTGGAGAAAATGTTAACATTCTGTTCTGGATTGTATTATACATATATACATCCAATAGAATCCAATACTGTGACTAATCAAAAAATAGTAAATCCAGATGCATTTATCCTTTGGCATAATCGACTTGGTCATCCAAGTGCTATTATGATGCGGAGAATTATAGGGAGTTCACATGGACACCGATTGAAGAACTTGAGAATCCTATTATCAAGTGATTTTTCGTGTGTTGCTTGCTCCCTTGGTAAATTGATTATCAGGCCTTCTATAACTAAAATAGAAAATGAATCTCCTCCATTGTTGGAATGAATTCAAGGAGATATTTGTGGACCTATAAATCCACCATCTAGACCATTTCGATATTTTATGGTGTTGATAGATGCTTCAACAAGATGGTCACATGTTTGCCTATTGTCTACACGCAATGTTGCGTTTGCAAGGTTACTTGCACAAATAATAAAATTGAGGGCACAATTTCCTGATTATACAATAAAAAGGATTCGACTTGATAATGCAGGAGAATTTACATCTCAATCATTTAATGATTATTATATGTCAATTAGGATTACTGTTGAGCATCCAGTTCCTCACATGCATACACAAAATGGTATGGCTGAATCCCTTATTAAGCGTCTGCAATTAATTGCAAGACCGCTGCTTATGAGATCAAAGTTACCCGCTTCTGCTTGGGGCCATGCTATATTGCATGCTGCAACGTTGATTCGATTAAGGCCAACTGCTTATCATAAGCATTCACCATTACAACTTGTTTCTGGGATTGAACCAAATATATCCCATTTAAAGATTTTTGGCTGTGCTGTATATGTTCCTATTGCTCCTACACAGCACACTAAAATGGGTCCCCAAAGAAGGCTGGGAATTTATGTTGGTTTCGAATCACCATCTATAATTAAATATCTTGAACCAATGACTAGTGATCTCTTCACAACAAGATTTGCTGATTGTCATTTTGATGAAAATTTGTTCCCAGCATTAGGGGGAGAGGAACAAAAGTTGAAGAAACAGGAATTAACTTGGGATGCATTATCTATATCTCATTTAGACCCTCGAACAGGTCAAAGTGAACTGGAAGTTCAGAAAATTATTCATTTGCAAAAGATTGCAAATCAATTGCCCGACGCATTCACTGATGCAAAGAAAGTAACTAGTTCACACATCCCAGTTTTGAATGTTCCTGCTCGAATTGATATTCTTGTTCAAAAAGGTGCTAAAACAGTAGCAAATGAATCTATTATACGCCAAAAGCATGGTAAACCTGTCGGTTCCAAAGATAAAAATCCAAGAATGAAGAGAAAGCAGAATGCTGGCTCCATTGAAATTGTAGAGACTCAAAAGTTCTCTAAACAACAGCCAGAAAATGCATCTAAAGAAATAATCCCAGAAAAGGTTCAAGTTGTTGAAAATAATGAAGATGCAGATATTGAAAATAATGAAGATGCAGATATTGAAAATAATGAAGATGCAGATATTGAAAATAATGATGAGATCTCAATAAATTATATTTCCACAGGGATAAAGTGGAATCGAAATGATGTTGTCATTGACGATGTTTTTGCATTTGCTATAGCAAATGATATAGTCAATGAAAATGAGGATCTTGAACCGAAATCCATTGAAGAATGCCAACAAAGAGGTGATTGGCCAAAATGGAAAGATGCAATTCAGGCAGAATTGAAATCATTAGAAAAACGCCAAGTTTTCGGACCAATTGTCCAAACACCCAATGATGTAAAGCCTGTCGGTTATAAATGGGTGTTTGTGAGAAAACGAAATGAGAAAAATGAGGTTGTGAGATACAAAGCCAGACTGGTAGCTCAAGGCTTTACACAAATACCTGGCGTTGATCATGTGGAAACATATTCTCCTGTGATGGATGCAATTACATTCAGGTTTCTAATAAGTTTAGCAGTTTCTGAAGGCCTTCAAATGCGCCTCATGGATGTTGTAACTGCTTACTTATACGGATCACTTGATAGTGACATTGATATGAAAGTCCCTATTGGAGTTAAAATGCCTGAAGCATACAACTCAATGCCAAGAGAGATATTTTCAATAAAATTAAAACAGTCTCTATATGGCTTGAAACAATCAGGGCGAATGTGGTACAATTGCCTAAGTGAATATCTCCTAAAAGAAGGATATGAAAATAATCCCATTAGTCCATGTGTTTTTACCAAGAGGTCAAAATCTGGTTTTGCTATCATTGCTGTATATGTTGATGATATAAATATCATTGGGACATCTGGAGAGCTTGAAAAGGCAATTGAATATTTAAAGAAAGAATTCGAGATGAAAGATCTCGGGACAACAAAATTTTGTCTCGGTCTACAGATCGAGCACTTATCAAATGGAATTTTTGTCCATCAACTCAATTATGTTGAAAAGATATTGAAGAGATTTAATATGGACAAATCTCATCCTTTAAGCTCTCCAATGGTTGTTCGATCCCTTGATGTAAAGAAAGATCCTTTTCGACCTCGTGAAGATAATGAAGAAATTCTTGGTCCTGAGGTACCATATTTAAGTGCCATAGATGCATTGATGTATTTAGCTAACAATACGCGACCTGATATCGCGTTTTCTGTGAATTTGTTAGCAAGATATAGTTCTGCACCAACACGAAGACATTGGAATGGCATTAAACATTTATTCCATTATCTTCAAAGAACAAAAGATATGGGATTATTTTACTCAAAGCACTCAAAACTAGAGTTAGTTGGATATGCAGACACAGGATATTTGTCTGATCCACATAAAGGGAGATCACAAACTGGATATTTATTCACATATGGTGGTACCGCAATTTCTTGGCGTTCAACCAAACAGACCATTGTTGCCACATCCTCAAATCAATCAAAATTAATTGCCCTATATGAGGCTAGTCGAGAATGTGTATGGTTAAGATCTTTGATCCAACATGTTCAAGTAACATGTGGTCTTAAAGCAATTACAGGAAATCCGACCTTATTGTATGAGGACAATACTACATGCATTGCACAAATAAAGGGAGGATTTATCAAAGGAGATAGAACCAAGCATATTTCTCCAAAGTTTTTCTCTACACATGAACTTGAAAATGCTGGTGAAATAGATGTTCAGTAAATTAGTTCAAATGAGAATCTTGCAGATCTCTTCACCAAGTCATTGCCCACCAAAGTTTTTGAACACCTTGTACACAAGATAGGCATGCGGCGTCTTAAAGAGCTTCGTTGAAATGAGGGGGAGTTTTATACGTACTACACTCTTTTTCCCTTCGTTATGGTTTTTATCCCATTAGGTTTTTCCTGACAAGGTTTTTAATGAGGCAGTTTAAAAGCATATAAAATACAAAAGGTGAGCATCCAAGGGGGAGTATTGTGAATTTTTCGTATTAGTGGATGCTTCACCTTCACATTCATCTTTACATATTGCAACTCCTCACAATTAAGGGTTCATTCCTCACCATTAAAGGGTCATTCTTGACCACCTACTAAAGGCCATTCAAAGGGCCATTCAATAGGCCATTCAAAGGGCCATTCAATAGGCCATTCAAAGGGGCCATTAAGGTGCCATTCAAGTGTCCATTAAGGTGCCATTCATACTCT